TTTTTTTTCTTTCACACAAATTTAAATAAAATAAAAAAAACTTATCGTAAAAAAACGGCTTTTAGCGCCATCTAAACACAGGTCAGGAGTGCTGCCATAACCCTTCAAATCAAATGCGCCGCTATGCGCCATATAGCAATGTAGGCGAATCACGAAGATAAGGAGGTAGGGGACTGCGCTCGACACTTTGAGGAGAGGAACCTATAGTCGTACACGCTTCCTTGTGACAAGCCTTTGATCAACTACCCGAGACATGACGACTACTGAAGTGGAAGGTAAGACCTCTCCTTATTTAACCAGGTGGTCCCATTGAGATCATCGATCTCTTTTTCAAGAGAGACCTCTCTAACATGGCAGCAAGTAGGTTACAACATGAAAATAAAACAACAGATAACACAAAAGGACATCGTATTTACAGGGCTACATTTACACACCTAGAGACATTGACAAGTATCAACCATATATTTATATCTCGCCCTGTCAATAAGCCTGGCGTTAGACTTTTTCGCTGTCCGTCATTTTGACAGACAGGATCGTAAAATATCCGTCATAATCCCTTATTACCCGTCGGGTCGGAACAGTTCACGATAGAGCATGCTCGTGAACTGTCAACGGGGGGGGGCGGTGTTATGCCGTGTGTGCATGCACCTCGCGGGACGCGCACAGCGTAAAGCAAGACCTCCCAGACATGTATTGATCTGTACGGCAAAGTACAGTTTGGAAACTATATCATTTCCTTTTGGAGGGCATGCATAACACGGCATAACACCAGAGCCTCGCTGCGGGGAAACGTTGGTGCTGTTCCGAGTTTGTTCTAATCTGTCAAAATGACAGACTGCTTTCAGATTTTTCCGTCATTGTTAAATAAAATATTCGGTTAACGCGACCACTGCTGTCCCAGCAACATCACTACCAAGCGAGAGAGTTTTTTCCAGAGCAGGGGATATTGTAAATGCCCAAACATCCCAGCTTATAAATACCTGGAAATGTGGACATTCTCATATTCCTAAAAACCTGTCTGATGATGCTGAGTGAGTGACTAGTGAGTTTGAGTTGAGTTACTTGAAAAACTAAAGTGAAACTTGATTTATTTTATTGCAGGGTCTGATTATTAAATGTCCTTGTTTATTTGTGAGATGCAGTGGCATAAAGAAAATGCTTACTTTGTTTGGTAGTACTAGTAGGTACAAAAACACTGGTTTTCTTGTTCCAGTCTGTTACTGTCACTTTGTTTTTGACACTTTAAAATACTGCTATGCTACAAAAATGCTGTAAAAATCAGATTTATTATGTAATAAAAAAACTTTTTCCCGAGTAAAAAAATGTTTTATTGGAAGAAAAAAAAATTCTGATTTTTTTTCTTCTTCCCTTTATTATTCAATATCGCGAAAAATACCGTACCGTGGACTTGTTATCGCGATATTATCGTACCGTGAGTTTTTGGTATCGTTACATCCCTATAAACTACCATTTTATTTATCATGAAAATAATAAAAGAAAAGTATCGAAAAAGAATCAGAATCGCAATTCTTGACTTGGTATCGGTATCGAAACCAAAATGTTGGTATCGTGACAACACTAATAGGTATGCATCATCAGCTGTGGACATATTAGCGCTTATCACAGCGATAAGAGGCGAGATTTAAAGCAGATTAACATGTGGCTCTCATCACATGTAGGACTTGTAGTCTGAATGCCAGCTGCTTTGTTGGCAGAGTAAAAACAACAGATATAGAACCAACCGTCAGGCGTGGTTGCTTTGGGGTGGAGAGGCTCCGACTCACCAGCACTTAACCCCACTTATGTGCACCAGGTTACGGAGAAAACAACAACAAAGAGCTTTAAGCCTCCGTGACTTGTGTGTGTGACATCTCTCCTCTTCATCTAATCCACCTGGCCGCATCACAAGCTCAGTAAAAACACACACTGACAGATGTGGGTGACACAAATAAGATGTAGGCAGGTGATGAGTGTTGATTAACGAGCATGTCAGTCACGCTGTCGGACGGGAACTAACATTTCACTTCAAAAACCTTTTTTTTTTTAAAAACCGATGACTTTAATCTGTGAGGTTAGGTCACAGTAGGCCTGAGACGTATGTTCACAGACAATACACTAAAGACAAGAAGAAGTGTGTGGGAGGGTATCTGGCTGCAGACTATGTGAATATTTTAGTGCCAAAAACCAATTTCACTTCTGTAAGCAAACCCATTGTCACTAGAGCTGCAAGCAATAATTGTGTATTTTCATGATCAGTTAATCTGGCAACAATTTCCTACAGTTATCAGTGAAAAGTGTATCTATAAAACGCCAGAAGCAGTCGAAGACTCCTATCAAAATATCCTGAATATCCACTTTACTATAAAAGTAAGACCAAGAAATGCAGCTTAAGTTTTCTTGACAGTTGAGAAGCTGAAGCAAGTATACCATACGTCTTAATTGGTAAATGCTATATTCAGAGTAATGTTGGTTTTCAATTCCTTTCATCAACGCCAGCGTGTTTTTCTCATGCGTCATGACTGGAAAAAAAAGATCCAAAGGGTGGCTTCTTTTCCTTTAGAAAGATAACAGCGTTGCTTGTAATACTGTATATCTGTAAAGTAAGTAAATCATTGGAACATGCTCAAAAGAGTCTTCACTGCGTTGGGACAACGGCTGTGTTCACCCCAAAAACCTGTGTGGGCCTAATTTCCCAAACAGAAATGTTATCAGCAATCGATAAAGAACTGAACCGTTCAGCAGACAAGGTATAATCAATAAATTAGCAATTCCTATTCCTAGACCAGAAGCATTTAAAAAAAAAACTAATCACCACTCAGGGAAAACATAAGTACAAAACTGCTTAAGGCTAGAAGACCACCTAAAATGACATTGATATTACATTAAAAAATGAAACTCAGATTAAATAACCTTAAAAGGTTAAAAGAACTATGAATTAATGATTTCCTTTTGTTCAGACATGTGACTGCTGCTTTAAGTGGAGCTCATGCTTTATCCACCTCCCTCCATCAGTGGGGCCTTGCCAGCAGCCCCACCCTGCCTCCCAAGCATGGAGGAGGCATATGGGCCTGTTAACCTGTCATATCCCGGTAAACAACAGCAGGACAAAGAGCACATTTTCTGAAATTACAATATTAAAAACGCCACTTATTAAGTGCCTGTGATAGATGCATAAAAAGAGGCTCACAAGGCCTCTTTAGCCAAATCATCCCCGGATTAAGGGTGTTGGTTTGGGTGGAGAAGGGGGTGAATGAGTGGAAACAGGCCGGTCAGAGCAAATGGTAAAGCGGTGATTGATTTTAGGGCGTTTCTGTTAGTGTGGCAGCAATATGGAGATGTAGGGAAGCCGACAGGGAGTGGATTCCTTTGTTGTGACTAATCTGTGGGAACCAGTGCTGTGCTACCAGCCCCTGCTTCCAATATCGGACATTATCATCACCCGTCATGCTGCTTTTAAAAAAAAAGAAAATCCTACTTAAATTCATCAACCATGATATAAAAGTGCATTTCACGTAATCTCTAAGCTATTTGAATTGAATTCCCCAGATTTCACATGAATAAACTGTCATGTTACTTCGATATAAGTCAACCTGACACCGGACATGAGACATCATCGGGCGTGTTTTTTTGACCTGGTTTTTAGCTTTAAGTTACATGATCGTGATACCCAGACACCTGATACCCTTTCAGTAACCTAATTTCTTTGTTTTTTCGGTGTTTAACCTAGATAAAACGCCCTTGTCCGATAACGGAACTATTGTTAGCAGCAGCGTGTATAGGCACATAGCAGATACTCAGTCTGACACAATTACAAACATAACTGATCAATAATCCATATGTATTCATGTTAAATAAACTTCACTTGTATATTAGGTTAAAATGTTAAAAGACGCATTTCAAGGCATAAATGGTGCAATAGTGCCACCTCATCCAAGCAACAGTATGCTTCATATTTGTCAAAACAGGTGGGCCTACAACAGAGCAAAAACCGGGTCTAACGTCTTAGCTTATAAACCAATAATATGTGCAAAAACACCGATGTATTAATCAACCTATATATAAATACTGTTAAAATTGTTTTTTTCCTTATCCTAATCACAATCATAGGATGTCAAACAGCAGGTTAGCTTTATGATGACCACCCCCCCTCCTCGGGTGTAGCATCCCTAGCTAACCGGCTAACGTCACCGTGTCATTACTAAATGTTACCAAATGCGGAGAAAATCCTTTAAATAAGATTAACCGGTGATTAAAGTTGGTTAAACCGACAAAATGTGGCGCTTTACGGTGATTATGCATCTCCTTGTCGGCGTTTTGACGAGCACCTCATGCTAACCTCGAGCAGTTACCATAAAAAATAACCGTTAAAAGCCCGTTAAACCGTTGAAACGCCGTTTAACTACATCCCACAATACATGTTTTATTACCCGTTCCAAATGCTTAAACTATTAATTCATTTCTTAGGTAAGACACTCACAAGATGTCGGAGCCGGTGGTTCCTCTGTCACTGCAGGTTTCTCTTCTGCTGCTGCTGCTTCTGCGGGGGCTGGGGTTTCTTTCCGGGGTTCAGCCGCGGGGAGGGCGTCGCTCTCCGGTTCAGGTTCGGGGATGGCCTCTGGCTCCGGTGCTGTCTTCGTGCTCTCCGGTTCTACTTTAGGGGCGACAACAACTTCCTTTTCTGGAACAAATGAAAAGCTAGTGGAGTCTGGGAGGATAGGCTCAGGCTCCGGTTCTGGTTCCGACACCTCTGGCTCCGCTTCTGTTAACGTTACCGGCTGTTCTGGTTCAGGGGTGAAGGACAATTTTGTGGACTCGTGTGGCGCACTATCTTCAGCAAAGTGGCGCTCCAAGGCGTCTTGAGCCCCTCCGACCAAGTCCACAATATCATCCACGCGGAAGAGGTCCTGTTTGGGCTTCACGTCGGTCTCCGGTTGGTAGTGGTGCGACTCCTCACTGAAAAGAGGAGTGGTGGAAGAGACGTGCTCGCTGTCTGCCATTTTTATTTTTTACCTAAACTGGAGATGAACAAAGTTTCAGGTCCGGAACTTTTGGGGGGCTCAGTTACCTCGTGTTGCACACTTTTACACCGCGGGGGGAGTTGTTAAACCGCGCCGGTAACTTCCTCCGGGTACATCTGCTCCGTGACACCGGGTAAAGTTGGACAAGTGCGCCACACGACAGTTGAGTGAAGTCGGACCCGTGTCTCACATTGACAGTCAAGTTGAGAAGGAAAGAGGGGGGTCACTACGCTGACCAATTACCTGCGGGTTAACCCATGAGTGACGTGACCTTTGGCCAATCAGAGTAAGTCAAAGTAACCTATAGCCACGCCCAGCAGGTGTCCCATTACCTCGCCCACGAAACCTCCACTAAAAGTTCACTCTGTTCTTCTAAGACAATTTCAGCTCCAACAGGGCACTTACATAACTTTAAAATTTATTCTGTAAAGTAACTCCTCCTGCTACTGTACAGCAAACACATGTCATACAAAGAACAGCAGAAGTACCCAGAAGTTTTACTTTAGCCATAGTTTTTGTGACTTTGGAGTGAGCTGGCATTTTTTACTGGAATAATTGTACATTATGATAGTAGTAAAACCACAGTTTATAACTGTTACAAGTAAACAAGTTCTAACATCAAGCACTTGTGAAATTGAAAACAGAAAAACTTAGACCTGTCAGTTAAAAGTACAATATGTTCCCATGAGATACAATAAAAGTATTTTTTAAAACTAGCAGAAAATGGAAATACTCAAGTAAATACTCATGTATCTCAAAATAATGAAAAAAGGACTGTTTGGTATCTTAATGCAGCATACAAAAAGATTATTAGATATTTGATACTGGAGATAAGACAGGAAGATGATATTAAAGATGTGTTATACTTCAAATATATACAGACATGTTGTACTTAAGTAAAGTACATAAGCTCATCTATGTATAACTTTTCTCACCACGTGTTGCAGGTTTAAAAAGGGGGAAGCCAAAGATGACTAGTCACAGTTTCATAACCGTTTGCAGAGAAATGCTACATTCAGGGAACCCAGGAAATGCAGCTTGAATTGCTGTAATACTGCAGTATTACAGCTAAATAGGCAGTTAACAGGTATTGTATAGCTGCTAATGATGTATCATTACCAGCTATACAATACCTTTTACATATGGACTTTATTTAAATATAATACAGACTGAAAGTGCAACACATGTTTATTTAAATCAGAAACATTCCAAAGGTTTTAGAGCTACTAACTAAAAAACGAAATGACAACAAGGTGGTCCAAATAAAAGGCAGAAGATCAATCACAGAATAATGCATGTGTAATTCTAATAATAAGAAAAAGATTAGAAACAACAGATTAACAGATACAAAAAATGCTAAAAACATTTTAAACAAGAAAACAAGTATTTAATACATTTGTGACTAACAGTGGTTATGCAACAAGTTGTCATAGTTAACATTAGTAAGTACATATCAGAATGTTTTTTGTTCTGCAAATTATCTCATGTCTCTAGAAAATATTCTTAGCTGCCCATTTTCTCCACAAGGGCTCAATAAAGTTCATTCTCAGAAAGTTGATTAGGAAAAATGATTTTGGTTGAAGCATGAAAAAGTGGAGAGTGAGAAACGCTCGGCTCCAGTTTGAAAGAGATAGAGTTACACAGCATACTGATGACAGGCGGGAGTCTATATATAACATGTGAGTATATATGTCTGTAAGCAAATATGGCTACTTCAACATATGATAATGTGAGAGAGGGACAGAGGGTCTGCTGATATATTCAACACTGAGCCTCAATGTTGCACCATACCATGAACACGCTTGACTTTATTTTCAATCAAACTCACGTATGTGGATTAATCCGCAGCCGACAAAAGGAATGCAGACATGATGTTACCCAAACAATAAAATACTTGTTTTCCTTTACTTTGGGAAAGATTTATTGTTTGTCTTTTTTCTAGGATGCAGTTTTGAGTGTGTCACAGAGGCTTTTCCCCGTGCAACTCAATTGCAACTTACCAAAGTTTCAACCTAATAAAGGTGCTTGAAACTAACTCTAAAGAAAGGTGAGTGCAGACAAACACACTCTAAGGTAAAGTAATGCTGAATGGCATTATACCAGGGGTGTCAAACTCAAGGCCCGGGGGCCAAATCCGGCCCGTGACTTCATTTTCTGTGGCCCCACAAGAGCTTGCAAAGAATATAATACGGTTACAGGCCGATTTACAGAAGTACGTTGCCCATAAACTACATGTCCCACAATGCATCTAAATTTTTCCTTTTTTTCTCAGAATTTCACTTTTTTTTCCTTCAAAATATGCCTTTTTTTCTTAGTAGTTGCCTTTTTCTCAAAATTTCACTTTTTTTCAAAATGTTTTTCTCTAGAATTTGACTTTTCTTTTTAAATCATTTTGTGACATTCTCACTGAAAATACTTGCAATTATTTGCCCTAGACTTCTTCTTTCAGACGTAGTTAATTATTAAGTTATTACCCTATCCGAAAATAATCCAATGCAGAGTCAATAAAGTAATATAATACGTTATTTTATATATATTAAATATTTATATATGTATTTTTATACAGTCTTAAAGTTACAACCGGCCCTTTGAATGCAACCATAATGTTAATGTGGCCTGCGATGAAATTGAGTTTGACAACCCCTGTACTAGACCGTGTTTCTAATTATATGTACTCTATATTGACATACATGTGTGCGTCAGAATAATGGAAACATCTGAATATAGGTTTTTCCTGTAAAATCTGACAAGTTTAGCGGATGATATTTGCACCATGAACTTTATTTTTTCCTTTTGCAGGCTCTAAGCATCAACTGGACCAGAGATGTTGTCATTTGTAAGTGAAAGTACATTTTAAATATAACATTTCAGTCATTTAGGTAATCATGAGCTAATATCCACCCGCAGTCCCTCACATACAACATATAAGAACATGACATTTATATTCATAACAAAAATAAATACATGACATGCAGAAAGAGCAAGAGCAGCATACACAAGTATTTACCACATGGCAGTACACTATAGCAGCAACGACACATAAAGTGCAAGAGATGATACAAGAGATGCCTAAAGTGCAAGAGGAGATACCCCTGTGTTAAAGTGCATTTAGCAGTGATTGCACGTCTGTTTGTTTCTCAACCATTCTTTGAGTTGACATTTGAAGCTATTGAGAGTGGGACAATCCCGTATCTCAGTTGGGAGGCTATTCCAGAATGAGCTGCCTTTAATGGAGAGGACATTTTGTCCAAAAGTGGCCTGTCTACGGTGGACCTCACAGTCTCCTCTGGTTTCTGACCTAGTGCAGCGTCCAGTGTGTTTTTTGTGGTTGGGAATTCAACAGATATCAGTAGTTTACTTATCCTCTTCCCAAGGAATGCATTCATGACATATATTTATGATAAACTTGAGTGTTGAGAAAAACTGTTGTATGCTAAACAGTTTGATGATATGAAAGGTCATCTAACGTAAGTTTACATCTTAGCTAGCGAAGCCAACGTTAGCGAACTGCCAATATATCTTACAAAAGCACAACTTAAGCTAGCTTTAGGTCAGCTCATGTGTCAAGTTTTCCAAACATGCTTGATTCATTAAGTCACCAGGGAAAATGTTAAATGAGTGTTTTTCTCAATGGAGTCTGGTGTCTTTGAACAGAGCAGACAAATAGGAAGGGCATTCTGACATGAAGTCACAGCAGTGAAAATATTCTAAATATAGCGGACACTTAAATTGACACAGAGCTTTTTTAGGTGTCTAAAATACCTTCAAAGGAGTACATTGCTTCGCTTCCTGCTGGCAAGGTGACAGAACAAAACTAAAAGATATGAAGTCAAGACAGGATTTGTAAAATGTTGGCATATTAACAACATGTCTGTGTGTTCATCATCCTGGGTCATGCGTAAAATTAGGTTATTATTCATGTGGGATTAATGCATGAGGATGATTCACCAACGACTCACTTAATCGACCAGTTTGCCCAAAGGTCGCTCACTGTCACTCAGAAATCAGAAGGGAAAAAACCAGACCAACACCACCTAATCATCCTCACTATAATGTTAAACTTTATACATAATTATTACACTCAAAGAAAAGGAATGAGGACAAAATGTCCTCACTTTGAAGGTCTGACACTCACATTGGTCCCCACTAAAATAGAAGTACAAAAATACCACTAGGGAACAGAAAGAAAGGGGGGGGGGATTACACAGCATTTTTCCTTTTCTCTACACACACACACACACACACACACCACACACACACACACACACACACACACCACACACACACACACACACACACACACACACACACACACACACACACACACACACACACACACACACACCTGTTGATATTTCCATGGATTACAGGTGTTGCTGTTGGTTTGGTATTGTGCAGAGCTGGCTGATGGGAAACACTTTGGAGGAGTGATGAGGCATAATGTTGGTGTTTGTGTGTGTGTGTGTGTGTGTGTGTGTGTGTGTGTGTGTGTGTGTGTGTGTGTGTGTGTCACGATGCATTTGTGAGTCTTTTCAGCACTGATTATGG